TCATGCGAACTTCCTCCTCAAATGTGTCGCTTTTGCCAGTTCGAGGTAAAAACACCTCACATCTCATACCTTTAGACAACCAGGTGAAATAGCGCAAATAGAAATAAGACACCCAGGCCGACTTTGATAGGATCAGGGCGTTTTTGCCGATTATTAGCCAATTACTGTACATAACAGCCTCCCGACTTGCTGAGGAATCAGCCATTTAAGAAACCCAATAAAATCTAACCTAATCCAACTGACTCTTAATTATATAATATTGTCATTTCTTCGTGAAATTCTAATAAGTTCGACCCTAATATATGAACGCTGTAAATACATTCTATGCATAACAAATGAATGTAAATTCTAAGAACAAAACAATCTAACAAGCGAAGCAACGAACAAATGAAATCGCAAGCGAGATTCATACTCCACGTAATGCTCGCACTATAACTCGCAGACTGCTGCGGCGCAGACTGAGTGACGCCTAGAATGCGCTGCATAAAGGAGGAGTGTTCGGCAGATGGGCAGCGGTAACGTGACTAGCCTTAATTAAAAATTCTAATTGAAGCATAGCACGATCTTCCAGCACAGTGCCTCTACCTCGCTCCGGTAGCCATAGCCTGCTGGGTGTCTGTCTGTGTGTGTTGAGCTTGTGCAAATTGGCTATTGTAAATTCCTTGTGAACGCCAACTTAATGGATGCTCGGTGTGAGCAAGGCAACAGGTAAAGCAGAAAGTTAAAGTGATTACTTAAGAGCGATTCCATGTAGCGAAGTAGGTCGTGCCTGCTAAACATATTAGCTGCATGGAATGAAACTCCTCGCCTCCTTTTTTTATTTTTTTTGTAAACAAGAAATGCGCATATTACTTGAGTAAATATTTTATGCAGTAAGTGGTCGTGGAACTTTTGGTATTAAGCTTTGGTTGTGGTGACCGATTGAGTAGGTTGTTTTGAAGAGAGTTTTGGTGAACTCAGACCATCTACGAGTAGTCCACAATCGCTCTCTTTGTGCTGGAAGTGAGGACTTAACTTTTAACCAAGTAGAACCGACGTCAGAACTCTGAAGTTTGGTTAGCATGAGCTTTCAAAGGGACCTATTTTCAACCTCCGAATATCGGAAGGCTTTTGGAACGTTGCTACTCAGTGAAAGATCTTTAAGAAAGCCTTAAAATTCGGTCTATGTATGTATTTCGCTTAGTTAGAACTTGAAAAGCAGTGTCTGGCTTCAGAAATACAGAACACCCGGATATGGGTGGTATAGGGATTAACTGGACCGAAGGACCTTTAGATGTTAGCAGCCTGATCTCCACTAGTAAGAATGCCGAACAATTTGGGACATTGCCGCGTGAATTACTTAGGCGACGAAGCCTTTTAACTGGGAATTAGCAGCGTTAGCTTTTATGTGAATGGTGTATGCGTGTAATGTAATTGCAGTTTCGGATACGAGGTCTGACCGGTGACTTAATGATGGTACCACGTAGAGCAGAAGCCGTTAGAGTTCACTCCAACCTGCTCATGCAGACTGGCAGCTCAAGGAGTATCAAGGTGGTTGAGGTCAAACCCCGAATGCGAAAAAACTTTTGTACGGTAAAGGTTTCAAATAGGCCTCAAACCCCACCAAGGTGGTTAGTGCGTACATTCCATATTGCCAATTGGTACTGAATAAACCTGGCATTTTCAAAGCGCTGATCAACGCATTGCTTTGATCCTCTGTGGTTTTGAGCTCCATGGGGTAAAGCTGTCATCAGGTACCCGCGTTAAAAATACCGGACGTTGACTTATGGCTTTCAAGGCGTATCAGGCTTTTTAGGGGCCTCCGCTTGTTTACGCAAACTTCGATAAAAACTTAGTATCTGAACTCGTTGAGGTTTGTTGATAAGAACTTTAGTGTCTCATTTCGTTGAAACCTGGACTGGTGGTTAAGGCATTTCGAGTTTCGGGACTGACGGTATAGTTTCAAAGCTGTCTCCGTCCCTTCGAAATATGAGACGAGGTTAGGTTATTTCGAAATATTTTGGCTCGTAATAAATAAAATGTAACATTTTGAGACCTAGTGACCTAGACCTAGACCAGTGAAGAAAATATAACAGCCCCAGATGAGAATGTACCTGTGCCCAAAAAATAAATAAAATTCTTTATTTATTCTTCCAAATCAATTTCATTTCTTTCAAAGTAATCCCCTAGCGATGCAATGCACTTATGCCAACGGATTTCCCAATCTTCGAAACACTGGTTGTAGTCACTTTCCGGGATGGCCTTCAGTTCCGTCTTCGCTGCGGCTTGAATCTCCTCTATCGTATAAAAACGGTGTCCCCGGAGCGGCCTTTTGAGCTTGGTGAACAGCCAGAAGTCGCACGGCGCCAGATCAGGTGAATACGGTGGTTGCGGAACGATACTGGTTCAGTTTTTGGGGTTGAGTTTTGAAATGATCACGAATTACGAGGGCAGTACGGGATGGTGCATTATCGTGGTGTAAAAACCAAGAATTCTCTTTCCACAAATTCGGCCTTTTTAGGCGGATAGCGTTACGCAAACGACACATAGCGTTCAAATAATACTCATATTCCTTGCATATTCATAATGCACAACACCACAATAATCGAAGAAAACAATCAACATGACCTTGATTTTTGAGCGACTTTGGCGCGATTTTTTTTGGTATCGGCTCTCTTTTGGCACGATATTCGCTCCATTGATCGGTTATTTCGGGGTCGTAAGCATAGATCCAAGTCTCAACGCCAGTTATAATGCGTTTCATGGTCACCCTGGTAGTCGGAAAGCATCGTTTCACACAGTTCAACGCGACGCCTTTTTCCAAAAAATTCAATGTTTTCGGTACCAGTCGAGATTTGACGCGCTCGAGGCCCAAAACATCCTTCAAAATGGTATTAGCTGAGTCTTTCGATATGCCAACTTCATCAGAAAGGTCTCTAATTGTTAATTGATGGTTTCTCAACACCAAATCTTTGATTTGTTGAACGTGAGCTTCGTCGATTGAAGTTGATGGTCGCCCTGGACGCTCTTCGTCTTCGACACGTTCACGGCCGGCTTGGAACTCACTATATCACTTGTAAACATTTTTTTTTAGACATAGCCTCATCACCAAAGGCTTTCTGCACCATGCTCAACGTATCCGCAGCAGAAAGTTGATTCCGTAAACAAAATTTAATGCAAATTCTTTGCTCATTAAATTTCGACATCGCAAAAATTGAAAAACTCACTTTTAGCAGCTCACAAAACGACACTTATCTCAAACACTAATGAATATTTTGACATGACATTTGATATAAATGTGACTGACAGAACTACCAACCTAAAAAAAAGAATTCTCCAAATCCTTCGACGCGCGCAGTTTAAATTCAAATGTCACCTTACTTTTTGGGCACAGCAAGAAGACCGTGAAGAGTCGATTCGGCACCGTTCGCAGTGACTCGGACATATGGAACGACTTGGCGCATTTTACGTCATTTAACATGAAAACGTACAAAATATAGCTTGTGCAAGAACTGAACGCGTTCGACCATCTCGAGCGACATCGCTTCGAATTATGGGCTCTTGAATAGTTCCAGGAAGGCAAATTTGCTTAACAATAAGGTCCATTTTTAAATCAATGACCATGTAAACACGCAACGAAGAGATTTAAAAGCTGTAAAGTCTTAAGTCGATGCGGACAATCCCGCTTCCATTCGGTACGTGGAGCAAAACATCACGCGTGTCATTCGCTAGTTACCTATCGAAATGCTCGAAGGAGTCGTCTAAAATTGGACAGATGGGCCATCTAACATTTAAAAAAGATAAAAGCTTCTGTGGGAACCCCGAAATGGGTCATCCTTTATAGTAAAAGTATAAACAATTCAACATTCGTAGCACCTAACGTGGAGAAGCCATAAAAATTCCTTAATATTTAGGATCGAAAAGCTATAGCATGGTCATTGAAGCAGAACAGAAGTCAAATAAAAATAATACCACTAATGAGATGTTCAATCCTCTTCAGTGACTTCGATATCATATTCAATTCAAACAGATGCAAATATTTATATCCTACAATAAGGCCTCATATTTCACTTCAAAATTCCTGTTTGTCAGTTTCATCACATGCCCTAAAATTAAGCCTTAAACTTCAAGGAATCAATAATCTTGTATGCGGTCGAAAGCAAACAAAAATACTCCAGCAGCAGCTGGTCCTTTTGATAAACATGTAACTTAGACTGTTAGCCTCTTCTTTTTCTTTTTCTTTCACCTCTGCTACTTTTATTGTGCTCTTTTTTGGTATAATGCAGAATAAAGCTATTGTCTTAAATTATGTTTAAAAATATCCTTCCACTTGCTAAACGAGCAGGAGGTAACTTTTGTGTGTTAATTAATTTTTAATGATTACAAACAACCTGGGCAAGAAGAGCAGCTAGTTTAGACAAGGTCTGTGAAGAGCAGGTGGAGAATTTTGCATTCATTAAATTTTGTATGTTGTTTTTGTTATTCGTCATTGGAAATTTTAGTTTTTGTTTACAAGCAGAGAGATAGACCAAAGAAAAGTGTCAAGTGTTCAAACTTTAACACATAATGACAAGAGTCAATACTATATGATATTTTCAAGAGTTAAAGATTAGTATATAAGGAAAGTCCGACCACTGATAGATTCTTGGATTGGTGACCATGATGGATGAGAAAAGAGCTTTCGGTGATAGGAAAACAGCGGCAAAAGTGGTAGATCTGTAGACGAAACTTGGCTTTGATAAATAATTCACTATATACCACAACGTTAAAGATTCTGAAAAGCAACTGGTCAACAGGTGTCGCTGTTGTCAAAATATCAAAATAATCTTTTTTTTTACTTGAATTTCGAATAAAATATACCGGTATTCATATAATATAATTAAAAAGCAAACATTTCTACTAACGACTTGAATGAAATCTGTGGCTGCGAAACAAATGTTTTTAAAACCCTAGTACTTTTTTCTTTTACCTCTCACACTTGTCACTCATAATTCTATAGTATTATGCTATATTTAACTTACCTTGACTTTGGTTTTCTTCCGACTGCGATGCGGCATCGTGACATCCGTTAATTTCAGCAATTTTGGTCTGATCGGGCGTTTGCCACTCTTTCCATTGCGGTCAAAGGTCAAGTCCAAATAGGTTTCTGACGTCATTTTCCTTCGTATATTATTTCGTAATTATAGCAATGCTAAATTAAAGTTATTTTCATCAGTGACTCTCATGCTGTCAAGCCGTTGTGACATTGTGCTAAAAATAAAGAATCACAATGACAAATATTAGTTAAAAATATTTATAGAAACGTAGGCTAATACTGAACAAGGTTTTTGTTTACAAAGCCTGGAATTCATTATCTCAGCAGGAGAGGGTTTCGATTAAATGAATTATTATATGACAACACTAATGTGGAAATGTCAAATATGACATTGTTATCATAGAGTTTGACATTTGCACAACTAAATTTACTCGGCTGAGTATTAAGGGGCTATATGTTTCAACGGCTTTACAAGTAAATACTATATATATAAACAAACGAAGTAGAAACCTTTATCTTCCAAATACTATAATGTATCGATGTATGCATGATATTGCAAAATCGATATGTCACACAAATCTGTGATTTCGTAGAATTGAAAAGTAAGAGCCAAATTGTTTATAACCTCATACCACTATCCTGTTCATTTTACTAGCATACATGTGAACATGAGTGTAGAAAACAGGAGACAGGCACACATACATATGTGCAATTTCAATAATGTCAACGTTCGCTGTCAACAGAGAAAAGTAGAAGAGAAGAGAGGGGAAAAATGCAATTGAAATGGCGCAAAACGTTGGGCTGACAGAGCAGCTGCAACAGAAGAAATTATTGACATGTCAATAAAGCGCTTACAGAAGCTTAACAGCCATACACAAATCGAAATAAACACGTACACATGCATGCATACATATGTACATACATACATATCTATTCATGTATGGATATGTACCATAACTATAAACATACAAAAGCATACAAATTCGAATGCAAATGAATGAAAGACAAAAGGTAACGAGCAAAATATCGAGGAGATGGCACACATACATATCACATATACACATACTTGTATATATATATGTACACAAATAGAATACGAACAGACCTGCATACACACATACATAACACATTCAAATATGCGCAATTGATTGGCGTAGAGGCATATATTGAGGCAATTTACTCGCACGTTTGGTGAAAAGCGCGGTCACAGCTTGTCACATCGATAGTGTAGGGGGGGCGATGTCTGCATTCTCTGCCAGCCGCATACTGCCGGCAAGCAGGCAATTGAAGGCACTTACGCGCTCGCTGGCACAATTGTCAATAAGTCGCCGTTCCGAAATTGTGAATGCAGGCGAAACAAGAATTGAAAGAATGCGAGTGAAGTGGGTAAGGAGAAGAGAGAAAGTATTTAGAAAAGGATTTAGGTGTACTCAAGGTAGAGAATTCGCTGGTTTAGAAGTAAGACTGCAGTGATTTTTGTTTGTTTTTCAGTTGTTGGCTTTCAAGCGTTGATAGTAAATATATATTGTATAAAGATTAAAAAATGAGAAAGAACAAAATTGAACTTCAAATAAGGATGAAATACACATTTTTTATATTTCTGCAACAACATTTTTATTTAAAAATTAAGAAAAAGAATAAATGTGGCTGATTTTAGTGAGGTATGTACTCACTAGTCCGGTAGCAGATTCGCTATACTAGTACAGACCTTGAGCTCGCTGACAGTGACCTTAAAGCTAGTCAAGAGTGCATGATTTCACTGACAGTAGCATCAAGCTATATGTCTGGTTGATCCGTCAAAACGAAATCGTTGGAAACTGTAAAACTGATGAACTTACAAAAAAGAGCACCTACATATAACCCACTCTCATCAAAATGAAAACGAGCCCATGTTCCCATCTCCTTCGTGCGTGTAGGCGTTGCATTTATTTACTTTGCGCGAGTTTAGCAAGCAGATTGAGAAAACTTTCGGACACAAAGTGGAACTACTACTTCTTAGCAATGTTTACAACGCCTCAATTATAAGTTCCCTAACTGGACACTATCTTTTTGGAACTCACGCGGTGAGGCTAAAGATTTGAAGGATCCGACTTGTCAAAGTTGAAAGAAGCTAGACGAGGTTTAAATATCTAGATACTTTGCCATGCATTCTCTAGCTTTTGCCAGGCTAAGGCAGAGGCGTCTCGGCTTGTCACAGGATCTAGACGCTTGCTATGAGTTTTCGATCCTACCGAAGGATTGTTGGAATGGACTGCCTATCAATTTCAGTTTCAGAGTCGCTGGCTACTGCACTGCAGAGTTTTTCTGTCCGAAGTTATAGCCTCATTTAGAGAAGTAACTATCCACTCTGTTAGCATGGCGGCGATACTAGTCTTGAGCTAACTAACCCTACATTCCAGGTTGGTTCAGGAATACCTAACCTCATTAGCAGTGGCAACGAGTCACTTTATGATTAGTCTACTGTGGATGCAAGAATATAGCAGGATCGCAAATAACTGTAAATTTGATGGACTAGCAAGTAAAGGCACCGTAGAACCGCTATCAGTGGAATACGGGCACACTTTCCTCGTGGTTTCTACTACTCAATGACTAGAGACCGCAGAAGCTTGATCAGCGCTGGGCTGCAATCGTTTCATGCGAGGTCGCAAGATTCTCTAGCCCAAGATTGATTCCTAGAGATCCAGTGAGCTAAGATTGAGAATATTACCGGACGGATGCCAGCTGTAAGGGCGAAGAGGAGGTGGAAACATTTCAACATTTCCTTTTTGATAGTTTCGCGATTTCGAGATGAAGGCTGAAACACTTGGTGGCTTACACTTTCTGATGCCCCACCTAGTTGGCCGGAATAGAAATTGAAAGTTTAAACAAATATGTGCTGGCCACAAAGCGCTTTGTCTACTTATAAGCTCAGAAACTGGAGTTCTATTTTTATTTTTGCCTTCATAAAGAACTACATATAGTAGTACAAGATCCTTGGGTCCGTCATCGAACTTAACCTAACTTACCTAAACTAGAAGCTCTGAGGATCACAAGGAAGAGACACCTCTAGTTGTTCAGATGTAATTATTTATAACCTCACGAGTATCAGCTTCTATAGGTAACCTAACCTAACCATAGCAAAGCGCTTTACCGACTTCTGAGGTGTAAAGATCTTACGGAATACTTGTAGATAACAATTAACTACCGATGTTCTCAGAAGTCTAAGTGGAATCATAATTAGATAGAATAAGCTAACATAAGTTATGAGGTTAGAATATCTATCTCGATTAGTTAGAATATAAATAGCACCCTTAGTAAATGATCTTTCCATTAAGTGAAATTTTTTTCAGCCTTCATATAATTTATATATTTAAATATATATGACCATATACTTGGATGAGACTTTACGTTGCCAGCCAAATTCATATTCGACCAGGCTTCGGAGGCGGCATCTTCTGCTTCTAACACAAACGAAAATCAAACATTCTGCTCACATAAATTAGATTTGGTGCATTTGTTCACTGCTACTTATCTACTAAAATTTATTTAGTTGAAAATGTTTAATAAAACAAACTTTTAAATGCAAATATTTGCAATGAAAACTAATATTTGTAATAAGCTTACAACAAAAGCAACAAAATACTACTAAACCAATTTGGGCAACCAATTGCGTGGAAAATAGCCAAACTAACTGTTATAGGCCGTAATTTACACCGCGTCACCTGGACACCTGGACTACAGACATACGCCAACATATTGTGTGCTCATTAATTTGCAAATTTTAATCCTATTTTCGATGTGAGTAATGAATGCCATGGAGCACTGAGCTGGCCGGCGAGCAAGACCAATGTTACCACATTGTTATGCAACAATTAATTGATGCATGGATTTAATTTAGTACATAATGTATATAAAAATAATATAAACGAATATTTATACATATTTTATTAAGTTAGCTCTTAAATACTGAACATTTTGCCTACTGAGAACACTGGTTAGGTACTGTACGAAGAAGTTAACGGTTGTAAGAGATCTATTTATAAGGAGAGGTCCTAATTCAAGCAAACACCTAAGTTTGCGATCTACACTTAATCAGTCAAAGATCTATTTTTCTTTCGATTATTTATAAAATTCAAAAATGTCTCACCAATTATATATGGATCATGCGACAAATAAGAACTAATATAAATATTTTTTGATCTGAATTTGATTTATAATTCAATATTTTTATTATGGACCGTACATATACACTAATCAGCCGTTCCAAGTTAGATCCGACGATTTCGAGCCAAATTTTGTTTAGCGACTAAGCTCGTTTCTGACTCAAAGGGTATGTAAACAAGCTAAATTCAGCTTTTAGGATGAAGAGCAACTGAAGAGCTGTAATTTTATCCAGAAAAAAACAACGATTTGGTGTGGTTTCTGTCCATAGTTCTTCGAAAAATAATGCCGGTGAGAACGACAATAGAAATAATCCTGACTATTTAATGGCTGAAATTGAAGCTCGTGATCTTGGCGCCATTTGGTTTCAATAAGAATGCGGAATTACCCACATAACGCTTCAACCAATGGATTTATTGAGAGTACACGTTTAGGGCCGGTCGATTGGCCACCAAGTTCGTGTAATTTCACACCGTTAGAGTTTTTCCTGTAGGGATATGTAGAGTCTAAAGTATATGCGCTTTGTTTCAGGCCTTGGAGCAAAATATCATGCATGTCATTTGCCAATTACTAGTCGAAATATACCAACGAGTCATTGAAAATTGGACTCAACAGATGGAGCAACTGAGACGTAGCCGCGGCCAACATTTATAAGAGATAATCTGGGATTCTCCATTAGATATGAAGTTACTAAATTTTGTTTTAAAAAAGTAAAGAACTTCGAAATTATCACCTTTTATGAAATCTGCCACGTTGAGTTATAAAATTCTTTACTTTAGGGCGAACAGAGACGCTCCAGGTTCCCTTGTATACAAAAAAATCGCTGTCTTGCAAACTGAAGGAATTAATTGTCGAAACTTTGTTTACAAACTGGACGAATGTTACCCTCATATCAATGGTATATGATGATAAGTCTTCTTTGACCGAATAGTTGGAAATCTACATTTGTCAGAGACAAATGGACAGTGGTAACAAAAGTTATAATAAACTGGTTCTGAAATTTTTAAGTCAGAAGTTTTGTGTCTATGTCTATATCCAAAAAAAAAAAAGCCATTAAAAAGGTTTTTTCAGAAAC